ATTGCAATGGTTGCAGCATATGCACATTCAATAATGACGATTTTTCGATCGAATTAAACCATGATTTTAATGTATCAAATGAATCAGTTTGATAATGCTATTTGATGGGTATTCCATGAGCAAGTGGTGTAGGAAATCCAATGAAAGTGTTTTTTGTGGGTGTGGGGTGTGGGTGTGTGGGTGTGTCGGTGTGGGTGTGTGGGTGTGGGGTGTGGGTGGGTATGGGGTGTGGAGTGTGGGTGTGGGGTGTGGGTGTGGGTGTGTGTGGGTGTGGGGTGCGGGTGTGTGGGTGGGTGTGGAGTGTGGGTGTGTGGGTGTGGGTGTGGGGTGTGGGTGTGGGTGTGGAGTGGGTGTGGGGCAGGTGTGGGTGTAGATGTGGATGGGTGTAGGTGTGGGTGGGTGTGTGGTGTGGATGTGGATGTGGATGTGGGTGTTGATCTATTAACGGTTACTACTACACCTACACCCACACCCACACCCACGCACACGCACACCCGCGCACACCCATACCCACACCCTCGCACACCCATACCCACACCCTCGCACACCCATACCCACACCCTCCAAACTTTGTTCACATTTGTCATTATTTGCACGGTTAATATACATGTGTATGACATAATTATTTGACCTTTAATAAAGCAACAATAATATACATGTAATACAATCAACTAACCGAATTTCTTAAGGTATATAATGACTTTTACTAATCAATATTTATTTATAAACCTTGAAGTCTTTCTTTATACATTTTTTAATATTTTATCACAACTAAACATTTAAATATTATTCATATAAAACATTCCAGTATGATATATCAGCATATTAAAAATCTGACTAAAATAAATTTCATCTGCATGCAAGTTTTGCTAATTGTATTCATGAAAGAATAAATGGCCATTGAAAAGATTCTAGTTTTTAGTAGAACAAAAATCGATGTGAATAATCGTTTGCCACTGAATAAATTCATTGCGAATAATGAGTCGATGTTTGAACTTTACTTTTCTGAATTATCAATAAAATACTGGTTCAATATAAATAATGCTCGTAAAGGTATAAACAGGAAGAACATTACTCATAGCATAATTGTCACTCATCAATATAATAATAAGATATAGAAAGTATCTAATTTTTATTGTTTGTAAAGTAAAAAGATAAAATCGACCCAGATCGATTTCCATAGAAACATATGATAGGTTATTACATAGAATTGACAAAATAGCGAAGCG